TTTGCAGCTATGATGCAGCTTAGATAATGAAAGCAACAATTGTATTGACTGTAGTAACAAAATAGTCGTTCTTCCTTTGCTCCTGTTTTATGAATGTATCTGATCCATGTCATGTAACCCAAGTCTGTTGGAGAAGGTCAGGAGGATAATGCCGAGGCTGCGGCCAGATATCTGGCTCCCTACATAATAGGATTACACAGAGATGGTAATTAGTGTTGTTGTTTGAGAATTAAACACATGTATGCACTAATTACAGAACTCGGCTGAGCCTTGCATTTAAATCCCACCTCTGTTTTTTTTTTTTTTTTTAATCTACAAAGAAATGGACTCCAAATTGACCATATGGAACAATCCCCAAAATCAAAAATACTTTTTTTTAAGAAAACATGGCCTATGGCGGCCCCATGGATCTGACAGTTGTAATCATGAGAATATATTTAAACATATATAGGAGCTTTGTGTAGCCACTACTTCAGGCATAGCTGAAACAGTGACAGATTAAGGCACGGGAGCATGGAGCTAGTAGCTGGGCCCCCTGGATAATGATTGGGTCCTAGGCTCCTGCTTAGGCGCCTTGTGGATGATCCAGCTCCAAACTGAATAGGTTAAGATTAAAGACAATGAAAAAAGATCTGTTATCAAAAGCTGGTAGGAGGTCTCCATCTTCTGCTTCATTGGCCAGTCTTGGAGACTGTTTATGGAGACCCTATGGATCTCACAGTCATATATGAGACTTGTGTGGCCACTGCTTTAGAAATAGCTCAACCAGTGACTGATTAGGGCGCAGGCACATCAAGATTGTAGCTGGGCCCCCTGAACATTGATAGGGTCCTAGGCTTCTGCTCAGGTTGCCTTGTTGATGATCCAGTTCTAAGCTGACTAGGTCAAGATTAAAGTTTGTTTTTATTTGCCGGTATGAGGTCTCGCTCCTCTGCTTCATGGGCCAGTCATGATGATTGTGGGGGCATCATTTCTACCGACTCCCAGTCTGAAAACTGGGGCCGTGACAATAAGGTCATTTCACATGCGCATTGGTGCAATGCGGTACCATTCCTGAATGGCACGCCAACACATCTTTCCAGTGCAACTGTGGTGCAGCACATCACAATATGTGTTAACACAGTACTGTGCCTTGGGGCGCATTGCCAAAAGAGCTGCCGGAGTGATTGGTGGTCCTTTGTGGGGCATTGAACAGCTCATTGAAATGAACACCAAAGGAACACGTTTAAGAGGTGCTGGGTTTTTGTGTTCAGTCAAATCACCCAGATGCAGGAAAGTTGTGCTCCCAAGCAAAACAGATAGATTGCTGGTGTGTAATTAATTTATAATATATCTTAATTTACTTAAAGGAGAACTATGGGGTGAGTGATTTCCACTCAACCTCATAGTTCGAGCCGACGTGTGACAATGAAACTGTCACACGTCGGCTCAATAGATCGAGAAGTGGGCGAACAGATACCGTCGCTCGCTCACTTATCGATCATCTCCCTGCAGAGAGCTGTGACTGTCACTCACGGCTAGCTGCAGGGATTCCCCCCCTCCCCGGTCCGATCCTCCAGCACTGACTGGTGGAACGGACGGGGGAGGGGGCGGGTACAGCTGTCTCTGCCTCTAGGTAGGCAGAGCCAGCTGTCAATCACGCAGCTGGGTGGATCTCGACAGTAATGTCGAGATCCGTCCCGGCTACGGCGGTCTCAGTATACCGCAAGCTGTAGCTCGCGATATACTGAGCTTAGGGTGACGGGAGGACACTAGTTTATGCCCTCCCGTGACCCTTAGGAGAACTATGGGGGAAAACACTTACCCCATAGTTCTCCTTTTAACAGACAGAAAGGTAGCTTTTACTGAATGTTAGTCAGGGAGTACGGACTATGGCCTCTATGTATACTGGTGACATGGAGCTTACAAAGACTTAACCGAATGGCGAGGGAGTACAAGGAAGTTGAGTATGTGCTGGCTGCTGGGGAATCCAACAATAAAGTCCAATTGAATCTTCTAAATTTGTTGCTGTAATGCAGTCAGGTTGCATTTACTGTAACCAATATGCTTTTCTTTTTGGGCTTTTTGACGTACTATGTGCTGCAACAATGTTTACAATACCTTGGCAGCATTCTAGAGAGCCAGACCGCCGCTCCTACACTCAACAAAGCAACCTAGGTCTCCAGCCATCTTACACACCCCCTTGCACACTGCTCCAATGACCAGCTCTGCCTAGGGAGCTGGAGTGCTGTTGATTAGAGCAGTGTGCAGGTATAGCTAAAGACTTAATCAATCAATAGTGCAGCGCTAAAAGCCTCACGTTATAGTTAGTAGATATTGTACACAATTCACTCAATTTTTCTTATCCATTCATGCACTCTTTTTTTTGGTTATTGGATGTTACTATTTTTTTCACTTGATTGTGGTTATTAATTCGTCACTTGAACGCCAATAGTTCGTTTTCGCCTGTATATATCGATCTACTGAATGAGATATTGTACACAGTTCACATAATTCACTCATTTTTATTATATCCATTCATGCATTTTTTTCACAGAGATGTTTATGGTTTAGATATACATAACAGTCATAGATTCAATTGAACATAAGATCTTTATTCAGTTTCACATATATGTTGTATATATTACACTTATTTGGTTACTATACCGTGAGGCTTTTAACGCTGCACTATTACATAGTTACATAGTATTTGAGGTTGAATAAAGACATTAGTCCATCAAGTCCAACCTATTGATTGATTAACCCCCGTGGCTTACCGCCTGAGTTCTGAGTTCAGCTTCTAGCTAATCCGGTTTTTCTTCTTTTTCTTTCCATAAGCTCAGGTTGTTGTCTTTCATAGCTAAAGACTTGCTGCTTTGTGTGCGAGAGCAGCAGTCCGACTCTCACGCATGCTGCCAGCACAGGGTATTTTTACCATTGTTGCAGCAAGTAAGTAAAACAAAACCCACAAAATAGTTTTATTTAGGCAAAGCACAGGTCCAGGTTGAAGGAAAATCGTCAATAAAAGAGTTGTACAGTCCCAGCATATTTTATCCTGTTATAACATCAGCTTTGTTATAGGAATTGTTTTTGATGATGCAATCAAAGCTTACTCTTCACTGAGCTCCGGATCAAAAACGCAGTGATTAGTAATGTCTGCATACCTTACTAATCACACCAGATCACCAGGGATCTGCCTGCTCGCCTCCTCCCTGCAGAAAGACAAGCAGGTGAGGGGGCTTCCTTGTATTATGTTACAGTGTGGCGGCAGGGAACAAGGGGAGGGGATTATGTTATGTGTGGGGGGCAGGGAACAGGGGGGATTATGTTATGTGTAGTAGAAAAAAAATTCAAACACAAGGGGCGAAGGGGATTCTTCTCAGTTCGCGCGGTTAGGGTCTGGAACTCACTGCCGCAAGCAGTGATTTCAGCTAATAGTCTGGAATCATTCAAGAGGCTTTTGGACGATTTCCTGAGAAACGGTAATATACAGGGGTACAAGTACTCCTAAAAACGAGATGACGCGGGGATCTTTACACACACACACACACACACAATAGGTTGGACTTGATGGACATGTGTCTTTATTCAACCTCAAATACTATGTAACTATGTAACTGGTGGCGACTAACTCTTAAGGCCTGGCTAGTAGCTCAGACCCCTTTGACCCCTGACATAGCCCATCATGCATTGCTTCCAGAAGGCAATGATAATGTTCCATTGTTCAGACATTGAGTTGTAGTTCAGATGGCAGGCTCTGTATAAGTTTTGACACAAGGAAGTGCATATCACAGTGCTGAGTGAAATGTGGTCAGTGCATTGAGGAAGTACATCCTATGGGCATCTTTGATAAGTAAGTTTACAAACTTCTAGATTGATATACCGGTACAATACATGTTTATTTTTTGACCATAGATACCCTTTATATAAATATTAAGGGCATGTTAATACCAGCAAGTTATACCGTGTTGCACCACGCTGCACTGAAAAAAGTACAGCATGCCCTACTTTTTTTTCAGGGCACACCAACACAACACAGTAGTGTGAATTGTGCCCTATTTAAAACAAGGAAAATTGCCTTGTCTATGCATGGGGGTCGTGCTTCCCTAATGTGAATGGTCCCCAAGTCTGATACTGCTGACCTCTCCTTTTGAAAATGCTGAGTGTCTGGTTTTTATTCTGGCCCTCTTGCTTCTGTACTCTGACTTAGAACAAATATGAAGGTAAAGACTTTTCTCTGATCTTCCTGATTTGTATAATTGGTCCATGGCTCAAAAAGATTGAAGCCAGGGGGTCAGGCAACCAGCATTTTTTTAGAAGGGGGCAACACCAGCAGTCTTCATATTGTAACATAAAAGGTTTGCTGTATGAGTTAAATATTTTATGTTGGTAATCTTCAGTAACATTGAGTGAGAAAGGACCCAGGGTGTATACACCAATAGAGGTGGAGACCTTCATATCATCACAGTAAGAATGGAAGCCACCAGCACTCCAAAAATACATAACCAAAATTAATTATAAACACTTGCTGGGTTTTCTTTCTTGGAAGTCACCCTGAGGAAGTGGACCCTGTGAGGCGCATTGCATTCCTGCCACTAGATGAAGCCGAGGAGCATAGGAAATTCCTGTGCTTCTCATCTCCATCTAGTGGCGGGAATGCCATATGAATGGCATTCACTCAGCTGGGCGGAAGTTTCATAACTGAACCCCTATGTGTTCATAATACATTTTGGAAACGCATGCTCGGAGTACTGGTGACTTCCTTCCTTACTACTGGTTTTGCACAACACCATCCGTCACCACAGGGCCCCCTTTGAATCACATCTGGTCCTACACCCTCAGGACTGTGCCATTCTACACAAGACTTGTGCTCATATCACTGTGACAAGCCGTGTGTGGCTTTGTGTTAGTCTAGGCGCTCAGTACATTGTGGTTTAGTATGAGGAAGTATCTCGGAGCCGCAGTCTTCTGCTCTCATATATACAATGAGATGCTGACTATGACACATCTGGAGAGGGGGGTTGACTGAACATAATACCCTAGATTCTCAATAACGGCAAAGGCAATGACAGATAATTACAGAGAGATTTCTGCGGCACGGAAAGCTCTACGAGACAGCTACCAAAACCTGCAGAATGTTGCTGATTACTGTGAGAAGAACTACATGGAGGTAAGTTTGGGGGGAAAACTGGATAGTGAGGGGTCCCTTAAGAAATCCTTGCTTCCCTCGATAGACACAACTTGGTGTTGTGTTTCAGTGTAGCTTAAAGTGTATGCAAATCCTAATAATAAGCTTCCCTTTTCTACTCCATTTTGGTCTGTTAAATATAGCATTAAAAGTGTTTTGTTAGATCCAGCAAGCTCATAATCTCTTGTGTACTGATTGTGCTTCACTAAAACCCGAAGTAGTGTTACCAGCCTGCCTAGTTCACGTCTGTGAACTACAGAACCGTAGTCCAAATACGCACTCTAGGGTTGCAATCCGTGGTGTAACAATAGCAATAACAGCTTACGTAGCTGCTATGGGGCCTGGGGTAGGAGGGGGACCCCATTACCGAGGCTGTTAGGAAAACGAAACTGTGAATTTCCAGCATAGAAGAGCTGAAGTCAGAACTCAGTAAGGTCCCTAGTCAAGGATTCAACTGTGGGCAGGAAGAAGCATTTGCTGCATTAGCAGTACAGGTTGATTGCTCTCGGAGCTTTGCTACGGACTGAATTTAATACTGTATGCCTAATGCAGTTAGAAATCAGAGAGTTGTTCCTCTGCTAAACCTTGGAGGGGAGAAAATGTTTGTAGTTTTCCCAAAAAAGTTCAATAAGCTATAGTCTGAAGAAGTTTGTAGGGTGGGGTTATAGAATTGTGTTCAAGAGCAAGAATAAAAAAAATATCATTATGGTTGTTATTATTATTGCTACTACGACTGTAACTTTTATCGATGGCTTTGAGCCCCATACCTCCCAACAGTTCCACATATGGATGGACTGTCCTTTAGTTGGAACCCAATCTCTCTGTCTCTCTTTCCTCAGTTGTCCCTCTTTTTGGTACGATGTACAGATATCTTTGAGGAAGTTCTTTTTAACTACCAAAAGTCTTATTCTCCACTAAAACCATCTTATCTCCTAATTATCTTGATTATGATTTGGAAAAGCCAGTATAAAGGAGAAGTAATGGAGGAAAACAACAGTTCTGGATTCAACCATTTATTTTTGGCATATAAATTCTTAATGATTCATATAACTAGGGTGTGGCAGGGGTGTGTTCATTACCTAATGACGTTGTGCTGGAAGGCGGCCCTCTTATCATCTCAAAAAGTTGGATGGTATGCTGGTCCCTAGTAGTGTACTGTCTATGATGACAGCTCTCCTGCTGTCTTAAACTGACACTAAACTCAGGAGTTAAGCCATAAAAATACATTCACGTACCTTAACTATTACAAAAAATGTATCTTATTTGTGCATCACTTGGCTGAAGATCCTCAAATAGGTGCTGAGACTGTCCTTGCTTCTGGAGGGTGGCTACTTTTGTTCCCCATGGTCCCTGTGTGTGTGTTGTCTAACCTCGCTCCTGTGATGGACAACAATCTCCATGTTTACTTTACTAATTTGTATTGAGGTTGTAGTCCATCACATGAGTGAGCTAGGAGCGATGGCTACTTTACAACACACACAGGGACCATGGGGAACAAAACTAGCCATCCTCCAGAAAGAAGGACAGTGTCAGCACCAATTCAGAGATGATTTGAGGATCTACAGCCGAGTGATACACAAATAAGATTTTTTGTTAATAGTTAAGGTACTTGAATGCAATTTTAAGATTTAACTCCTGCGTTTAGTGTCACTTTAATTCAGGCATAGATTATGTCAACATCAGTGACATTTATTGAAACAATTGACACCCCCAGCTAGTACAGAGAGGTTAAAGGAGAACTATGGGGTCAGGGCTTTTCCCCATAGTTCTCCTTAGGGTAAAGGGAGGACACAAACTAGCATCCTCCCGTCACCCTAAGCTCAGTATACCGCAAGCTGCAGCTCGCGGTATACTGAGACGCCGCAGCTGAAGCAGATCCCAACAATTATGTCCGGATCCGCCCAGCTGCGTGAGTGACAGCTGGCTCTGCCTATCTAGAGGCAGAGCCAGCTGTACCCGCCCCCTCCCCTGTCCGTTCCGCCAGTCAGCGCTGGAGGATCGGAGCAGGGAGGGGGGAATCCAGTCCCTCCCCTGTCACGGCTCTCTGCGATCGAGAGGTGAGCGAGCGCCAGTATGTGTTCGCTCACTTCCGATCTACTGAGCCGACCTGTAACAGTCTGATTGTCACAGGTCGGCTAGAACTATGAGGTGAGTGAAAAGCACTCACCTCATAGTTCTCCTTTAAAAAGGGAACCCCATTGGAACTTTGTTATTGGGCAGCACTTTGTTTTACATTTTTGTCTCTAGCGAAAGGGTCACTTCAGGGTTTACTGGGAGAAATCTATCAACATTGTGTCTAGCAAAGCAGTGCAAAAAACATGAGCAGTGTTATCTTTTATGAAATAAAATGTACTATAAGACCGTGGCTTGATTTTGAATTTCCCCCTTATGCTGGTAAGTATAGAACATACCCCTCACCTCCTCTTTGGTGTATGTTTGGTGGAAAATTGTGTAAAGAACAATGAGAAACCTGTTTGCAGAATAGGTGTATTCATCTAACGCTGGCTAAACACTAGCATTTTATTCTCATTCAGCCCCGAAAAATGCCTCTCGATTCCCCCTTTCAAGCAGGGAACCCTCCCCCCCTTTTCCCCAGTCAGTGTATTGTATTGGCTGCAGTTACTGTTCAGCCAAAAAATTTTGGGGCAACCTCCTTTGACAAAAGTCAGTTGAAAAATCAGTTGAAAAAATCGACTTTTGTGGAATGGGGCAGCGGTCTTGATGGGGGACACACAGTGGCCAAACTTTGGCCAAGTGCTGCTGACACAGTGGAAATTTGATGAGTGTATGGCCTGCTTTAGATTGCAGGTTTGGGTGTTGCATGCATATGGTTCAACCTTTATTAATACTTTGGTAATAATAATGATGACAAGTGCATAATTCTGTTGTAACTTCCCTGATAAATCCCCTTGGCTTATTTATAAGGAGGAAGTTGTGGACAAATATGCATTTATTTAGGTCATATACATCGCAGAGCACTCCTGAGATCCGGCAGTCAGCCACTGGTGTTGAACAAAGGATTTGACATACTCAAATATCCCTCAACATTGTTCTCAACCAACTGAAGTCACGAGGCGGCCCAACTAAGTCGTCTCGTGGATTCATCTCGTGGCCCAACGAAGTACTGATGGGGTGGTCATAATCATCTGGCCACTCAGTGTATATATTGTATATATAGTTTTGCCTATATTCTCACAGAAGGAACGTTCTCAGGGATTTGTAGAGCGAATGACTCTGGGAATGTTTCATATATAGACTCCGTAGTGTGTGTGTGTGTGTATGCATGTGAACCTCTGGTGTATTAGGATTATCTGTCAAACTCTAAATTGGGGCTAAGGTCTGTGCCAGCATATAGATCTAATCAGTGGTGCAACTATAGCCATTGCAGCCCAGACGGCTGCTATGGGGTCTGGGGATGGAAGGGGCACCCCATTAGGTTGTTGAGGCAAATAAACATAGTGCTGTATCATTAAGGGTTGGAATGGTTGCAATGTAAAGTTGTAGAGTCTACAGTGTGGGAAATTAGAATTTAGAAGCAAAAGAGGAGTCTTTAGCATCTCGGTATCCTTAGCCATAGCTCAGAGAGAGGTTGTGAGAGGGGCCCCGCATCACATTTTTGCTATGTGGCCCTGTGATCTGTAGTTATGCCCCTGGATCTAATGCTATGATATTGTCTCCAGGACAAAAACTCAAATGAACCAGGCATAAAAATGTCTTATTTATCCCACTAGAGATATCTAATGATGACACTCTTCCTATACACAAACAAAAAAATCAAAAATAAGTTCCAAAAAGAAAAAAAAAAAATTTATATTAATACTGCAACCAGAAGACAAGACCAAGAAGAAAATAACAATAAAGACAAATGTCTTCCTTCTTTTGCCCCAGTAGAACGTGATTCAAAGAATGTGCATATACAGTGTGTATCAAGTGTTCATCACAGTTCATGATCTCTTCATTAGTTATAAATAGGATCGTTCTTCTTGGTGTCCTCATTTTATTTATTTAAAGGAATATTTCTCCAGGTATAAGGGTAAGGTATTTAATGCCACAGATGTTTCAGTTAATGTGATTACAGGTAATCCAAGAATTGGCATTTCTATTCCAAATGGTATCCTTCTAAGGTGTCATGAATATCTATATACTTGGTCTGTATGTGGGTTCATTGGGTTCACATAATGACAGGTTCTCATAGTATTTTAGAGTCCTTGGATACCCATAATGCTATGTGCTTCATTCCCATCACAAGACTTCCTCATGACGGAGATGAAGCGTGTTGGGTTATGCATAGTTTTAACTATAGACAACAAATCCCTCCAGCACCTGACCCTGAACGCCACTGATCGGGAGTGAACGGCTTCCGGTAATACTGTATTAGAGCTCATAAAGTAGAAGAAGCAGCACCACATAATGAGCCTCCGTTGTTTATTGAGGGGTCAACAAGACAAGATACAAAGAAAAAGTGGCAAAGACCATGTTCTTCTGGAGGAAGAAGGTTTTTGCTGCTTTTTTTTGTAACTAGTTGAGCCCTCAATAAACAACTGAGTCTAATTATGGGGTGCTGGCTTTTTCTGTTTAACAAGGTTACGCATGGTGGAGGCCCCCTAAAACTGGTAGATGCACTGTCTCAACGATGACACAGCTCAGCGTCTAGAACAATAACTTTGAAGGACATTATTCTGACAGTGACTTCATTTGGATATCAACTGTATGTTGAACGATTCACTCAATGAGGAAATCGAAAGGACATATAAGTGAGAGGGTGTCTTGAGACCAGTAAGCCTGTGACAAAGCAACTGGAAGGACAATAAGCTGCGAAAACATAATTTATGGTTGCTATGATATGCAATTGAACACATGCAACTATGCACATCATTACCTGTCAGATAATCCATTTGCAAAGATTAAATTTATGATCATTTTATGACTTGGGATTATACATTTACTGTGGGTGAACTCTATCTCTTCCTTGGGAAGCATTTGACCTTCCCAAACAATTTGTATATCTCCAGAAGTGGCGCAGGATTCTAGAATTCGGAGATAATTGTTGTAACAGATTTTTTTATCAGCTGTTTCGCATAGGACCGAATTATTATGACACAGTCAAGAAAATGTATGCCATCAGCATTGAAATATTGCTGTATACTTCATCATTATTGGTGTCTATTTATAACGGCCACTAGATGGAGCTGAGGAGCAGTGGAAACAATTCTTACTTTCTATGCTCCTCAACTCCATCTAGTGGCCCTAGTGGAGTATTTACCTGATCTTACCTTTGTTTTTGCTTCGGTTCTCACAGAACGAATGTAAATGCAATTTCACAGGGCGAATGCCTCTGCAAATTTTCTATAATAACACTCCACCCATATATAGAGCAAGTATATAAATATATATTTATCTGTAAAAAATATGTCAAGGCAACTGGACTTGCTGTATTTTTCTTGAAGACGTTTCCCAAGACGTTTCACTGGTCATCAAATCAGCTTTCTCAGTTCAGAATGACTCGTACAAAAAATTATCTGGGAATAGATATGGTGAATGTTGCTCCAATCCACATAATCTGTTAGTCACAACCAGGTGTTGATTGCATTTGCATAATTGGAGTTCAAGACAGTACTTGATTGTCTTCTTGAAGACAGTCAAGTACACACCCTAGACAGGGTGGAGGACTGCTTTAAAAGAGGCGTGAAAGAGGCAATTATTTAAAAAATGGAGAAGCCAAGCTTGAACAGAGGTGGGGGGGTGGGACATCTATTGTCTGCCACATACAATGCTGTTTTAGCACCTCTCTCTGGGCAAGTTATTAACACCTAGCTCCAATTAGGCAAATGCAATCAACACCTGGTTGTGACTAACATATTGTGTGGATTGGAGCAATATTCACCACATTTATTCCCAGAGAATTGTTTGTACAAGTCATTCTGAATTGAGAAAGCTGTTTGGATGTCCAGTGAAACGAAGAATTATACAGCAAGTCCAGTTGCCTTGACTTATTTTTTACAGATATACCATGACCTGGATGAATGAGAACCTTCACAGACATAAATATATATCGACATCATTGAAGGATACCATTTGGAATATAAATAGCAATCTTTGCTTTCTCTGTAATCACTTTGATTGAAACATTAACAAAATGAGGTCACCAAGAGGAACTATTCTATTTACAACCAACTCAATAAGGAGAAGCTGAGCTGTGGTAAACGGTGGATACATACTGTATATGCAAACTCTTTGGATGATATATGGGATATTTTTCCTCCACTGTAGCAAAAAGGGGAAGCTGTTTTCAAATGTTTTTAATGTTTCTTTTTTTCTTGATCTTTATGCAGTCTACATATAATTTATTTTGATCTCTTTGGAATTTATTTTGGAATTTTTGTGTATAGTGAGACCTTCATTTTAGGGTAGCTCTCGTGGAGTAGATAAGACATGTTTGTCCATGCATTAGGATTAATAGGAATCCTAACCTACATGGGATTTATAGCATTTTGTAGAAAGGCATATTGGGATGATAGGGATAAATGTGCATGATGACAATTTTAAATAACTCATAGGCATTAGATGGTGGTTTGACGTACAGTATTATAACATAATAATTTCTTCAAACCATACCATGGACATCACTGGAGTGTGAATATGTAGGTAGTGGCAAAGAATAGCCAGACACACTCCAGGTGGGACTTGATAAGAGGAAACTATAATGGTTGGACAAAAGAAAACCGACCCAGTCAGTAACTTGTTGTCCAGAGAAGGATCAGCCAGTGGTACCTACTGTCACTTATAGCCATGATGATTGTTGCCCAGTCTGGCTAAAATCTCAAATTCATATTGGAAAGGCACAGTTTTTCTGATCCGTGGATCTCAGCACTGCTTGATTTTGATGCAGGAGTGTTGTTTTTAGGGTGTAGGTAAGGTGTTATGCTTAGGGGAGGTTAAATGTTAAAGTTAGAGTTAGTAGAGGTATCACTATAAGGGATAAAAATTTGTATCAAGGTAGGTTTAGAGCTCAAGCTTGGTTTAGGGGTTGAGCAATAGGGTTAGGGATAGCGTGGCGCAGTTAGACTAGGTTTAGGGGGTTAAGCGTTAGGGTCCTGAGAGTCTTTCTTGTGTATCTGTAAAAATACTATCAAAATGTTCTCTTTAAAAATAAACAATCCTTTTGAAGACCTGTCCTTGACTTCTCCGCAGGCTCCCAACAAGCGCAAGTCTCTGGAGAGTACCATGGCTCTTGTGACACAAACCCTGGCTAGTGTGGTTTCTCAAGTGGGAACTGCTGCCAGATACATTTCAGACATGCTGGAGGAGCAGAGTCAAGTTCTGCTGAAGGAGGAGGCTAAAGTCAGATTCATCTCTCAGGTTAGTCACCAGGTATTTTTTTTTTACAGAACATGTGCCACTTATGGGTTGAATGTTTTCCTTGCATCTGAAGGTATCTTCAAAAAGCCTTTCCTCCTACAGGAACCACAGTTACTTTAAAGTAAAACTGTATTCCATCTCTAAAAAAGATGCCAAGCCAGACAAGCATTTTCTGTGGTCCTCTATGATTTAGTTTCACATTGTTACTGTGGCCTGACATTCTCTTAGTGCCCTTACTAGCCATTGAAGCATTGTCATTGGACAGTGAAATGGCAGTTGTCAGGGCTTACCCATCAGAGACACCCATGAAGACAAGTAAAAAGGTGAAGCTTAATCAGAGAGTGGCTTTTCTAGTGTAGCCCCCATCACCTTCTGTGATGTGGCTACTAGACATTTAGTGGTAGCCATGGCTCTAGTCAGTCTGGCTGGAATTATAGTGGCAGTTAGCTGGTTAATTCCAGGTGTCTGGCATTGTCTGTACCCCCCTGGGCGGAGTGTGACTCTGTCATATTGTGGGACAGCCAGTGAGAGGCACTGTAGTGTATTTACAGTACAGCAGCTAATTACTGGGTTTCTCTCAACCAGTGGTGCATACTGGCAGGGCCGGCCTTAGGCCTTTAGGCGCCCTGTGCGAGAAAGCTTTACAGCGCCCCTCGTGGCCACACCCAGACATGGAGGAGGCCTGTGTTGTGGTAAGAGGAAGAGAACCGGGACCAATGCTGGCTCTTGAAGTACCCCGGAACTAGTAGGACTTCAGGAGTATGGTCAGTGTCTTTCCTGTTTGAGGATATGTATCCATCCTGCTTATGTGCTACATCCGTTGCCATCCACTGCCTCCCTGGTGGATCTACACTGATATGCCAACCTGGTCTGGTGAGTCTGGAGCTCTTGTCAGTTACCCCTGAAAGCTTAGAACCCCTATGCCCTCTCTCCCCAGTGAAGATGTTCAATAAAAGGTTATTCAGCATTTTATTACTGGAGTGGACGTCAGTTTGTGGACACTAGAAGAAGGGCGGTTAATGCTATTGGGTGGGCAGCTGAAGAACATACCCTAGACAGACTAGAGATGAACAGGGGATTTAGCGGCTCTTTTGGGGGTGAGCGCTACACTAGCTAGCAAAGGTAATACTGAATTGAAAAATACAAATGCAAATAATACTAAAATGGTAATAACAGGCATGCAGTGGTGTCTGATCTTAGGCATGATTCATTCTAAAGAATTATGCCAGATGGAGCCAGGCAACTCAGAAATAGGTTACCTTACATAATTCTCTCTCTTAGTTTTTCCTCTATAGCCTAATTGAAGTTTCAAAAGTTCCAAAGTTTAAATTACATTCTGGCGTATCAAAAACACAAGGGTTAGCCAAAGCAATTTTTTCACGATTCTACCCCAGGCTACATCACTAGCCTCATCTCTGCACTTTCCCAAGACCTTCTGCTCTTTAGCTCCCTTGTCAACTTCTCCTATGCTCATCTCCATGACTTCTCCAGAGCCTCTTGAACTCCATACCCCAATCTGTCCAGCTATTTCCTACTCTGTCTTTAGGCAATCCCTTAAAACTCATCTCTTTAGGCGTGCCTATCCCACCTCTACCTAAAAACATACTTTTACTACTTCTACTTCCTCCATCAGCTCATCCCTCACAATTTTTAACTTTTGTATCACTTCCCTTTCCTTGTTAAATTGTAAGTTTTAATGAGCAGGGAACTCCTAATCCTTTTGCATTGAATTGTAATGTAATTGTAATGTCTTCCTTAATTTTGCAAAATGCTGTGCAGACTATTAGCACTATATGAATCCTGAATAATAATCACTGTTTTAGATACTGAAAATGGAAAAGTGCTAAGACCTTTGGCTGTCTGTGTTCCCAATTCGTAAATTTTCTCTCACCTTCAGTCTAAGAATTGAAGGGGAATCTCCCCTATGGGTGCAAAGATACATTGTTTGGCTAAATGTTTGTGGATGCCTGACCATCAAGCTTATTTGAGCTTGTTGGACATCCCATTCCAGCTCGCCTTTGCAGCTATAAAAGCCCCCATTCTGCTGGGAAGGCTTTCAGCTAAATTCACATTTGTGAGGTCAGGTTCTGATGTTGAATGAGAAGAAATGGCTCACAATTGGGTTTCAAGTTCAACCACAAAGATATTTAGTGGGACTGAGGTCAGGCCTTTCTGCAGGCCACTCAAGTTCTTCCACATCAAAACATGCAAACTCAGCAATGCAAGCGGGAACAAAAAAGGCCATTCAAACAATTGCCACAACGTTGGGAGCTGCACAGTTTTCGAATATGTCTTTGTAAACTGCATTAGCGTACCCTTCACTGGATACACCCAAACTCAATAATTTGGAGGGGTGTGATGGTTAGGTGTCAACAAACGTTTAGCCAAATAGTGTAGCTTTAGAAGCCGGAAAAAAAGATTTTAACCCTTTCTCATTGTATCCAAGCCTAAAAAAGAAGGTTAGGTTGGAGTTTATGTTTTAAATTAGTCAATGTGCAAAAATAGAAGCCGGGGCCGAGTATGTTGTAAGACAAGGTGTGAAGACTAAAAGGCTTTTGTGTTGCATAGCAAGGATTGCTAACTATAATAGATAGAAAGGTCAAAACAGCCCCCCCTCTGCATCTACCCAAATTCCGAGAAAACAACAAAAGCACTTGTACAGAATGTTGTGCACTAATAAGAAGCAATTATGTGTTTGATATAACAAGAACAATGACAAGAAAACGTTCTTCACGGTCTTGTGCTAATGTGAGCCTATGAGGATAGTATGCTTAGAAGAGAGACTAAGTGGTGCCATCTACTGCGCTTTTCAAGAATTGATTCTCTTTGTCATTCATGGTTTTAGAAAACTATCAAGGTGATTTTCAAATAATTTCTTATACAACTCCTTCCCTTTTAAAGCAGAACTCCCTATGTTTTATAAATCAGACTGTTCAAAGAAGGACAATATAAAGAATCGGCTCCATTTAAAATGGATTTTTCTGTATTGGACAGGTACTGTGGGGTTCAGATACCCACTGTCCCCATGTATTGCTTGGTAGCTACAATTGCAAGATGTTTACATTATTTCTACATTCTGACCAGTCTTTTGATGAATGTAACATCATTGGGTTTATAATGGCTGCAGCAGTTAGTTAAATCTAAGAATGGTGGGAATCTTTCACCACTGGTGGCCATGAAAGATATAGGAAGCCAGCACTATATTTAATGTCATAGCAACCATACAAAATTGTATTTTCCACTGGCAAGAAGGAAAATATGAGCCCGTTCCACCCGGCCTATCATCATAAAGAATAAATAATAACTGTATTTTATGATATTCAGTCATGTCCAACGTGCAGGATGGCATTGCCACAGACTATCATCCATACATACAGTATATGAAATTACATTTATATTTTCATTCTTTTCTATGTCTGCAGTTTCTAGATATCCATGCTGAAAAAGTTTCCCGGCGCAAAATTGGAAGTTTGACTGTCTCGAAGAGGTTCCCACACACTCAAAAAATTGTGTATGGAGAGACCAAACAACCACAGTCCACATATACCAGAAATCCCATTAATCTCTCGTCCCTTGATAATACCGGCCATGGACTCATGGTGAGACTTTCACTCCATTTGCATATGATTCCTCTCTGTAAAGCCTAATTGAAGGCACAGAAATAGATATTCAGTCAGATATACATTGTACTAAAAACCTCTATTAATATAAGTGTAGCGCACCCCTGACCCCCAAAGGCCTGTGGTGGACCCCCCAAAGGCACTCTCATGGGTGGATCCTTAGCTGGGTTGTGGGATGTGAACAGTAAATTGGGCGCCAGTCACTTTAAGAACTTTTCTAATGCTTTATTGTAGAACACCCAAACTGTTGTGACGTCACAACTCACTCCGCCTATTTATTTACATTCGGCCTGGACCTGTCATTTTGCGGCGGGTGTTCGATGGGGGAGGACGGGTTGCCAGGCGGCAGGACTTTTTTTTATTTCGGCGAATCAGCAGGCATCACTCAGGGTGATTGACAAGGGATTACATTGCTGAACGATGTGGTTAACCATGGATTACAGCGTTAGATGATTTTTGGGGTTTTGTCAAAAAATTTCTTGTTTTTTGTTCAGTTAAAGGATTTTTTCATGGTGTCGTGTTTTTATTTTAACTTTTCTCTTTAGTGAATGAGTAGGGGTAACACCTACCTCTTACTCATTCACGAAAGGGGGTACCCAGATGCAGATGAGCCCCTACTGTCTGCAGACCCCCACAACCACCAGGCCAGGGTTGTGGGGAAGAGGCCCTTGTCCTCATCGGTATGGGGACAAGGTGCTTTTCCAGGGAGTCCCCCATGAAAAAGCACCCTTTAAATGTCCAGGGCATGTGGCCTGGTATGGTGCATGGAGGGGGGGCGCACCATACCAGGCCACATGCCGTGGACATTTGAAGGGTGCTTTTTCATGGGGGACTCCCTGGAAAAGCACCTTGTCCCCATACCGATGAGGACAAGGGTCTCGTCCCCATCCTTTTCCTGCCCTGCCAGGCCAGTGCTCAGATTAAGGGTTTGGTGTGGGATTTTAGAGGGACCCCAATTTTTTTTAAATGGGGACCCCCCTTAAATTCCAACCAGACCAAAAGGGTCTGATATGACCCACTGTTTTTTTGTTTTTTTTTACAGTGGCATTATTTATTCTGTTCACTAACTCTGAGGTAGAGAACAGAATGGCCGAGCCAAATGCTGAGCCGAGCATTCGGCTATTCACTCTCTGCTGTTTGGCCCCTTTGAGAATGGGGTGAACAGCAGAGAATTAACTGCTGAACGTTTGCCTCAGCTGATCCAGATGTTGCATCAGCTGAGGAGAACGGGCTCTTACCTTCGGTTCGGCTGAACGTGCTGCATGAAGCAGGCTGAATGCAGCCAATGGGCGGCTAAAAATAACTGCACAGGGCTGCAGTGAATAACCAAAGAGTCGTCGGCTCATTTCACTTTGGTTCTGTTATTCATTCGGCTGTCTTCAGCAGCTTAGTGAATAACCCCCATAGTCTTTTAGTCTTTATGCCTGAGTAAATAATACTGATCTTTTTTAATTGTAGTAGTAGTAGTCAGGGCCGGATTTCCCACAAGGCTAACCAAGGCCCGGCCTCGGGGGGAAGCAGGGGTGTGGAATTCCTATCTCCCGATGCTCGGGGTGGGTTGTTGTTTTCTACATTTGGCCATGCTTTGGGCAAGCAGAGCTAAATGTAAAGCGTGGAAGCCACTGCTTGTTTTGTACAAGTGATCTTGGCGACATTGTATGCAACCTGCAGGTCTGCCATTCTCCATGGGGGGGAGAGGGGGGGTGGCGGTTAGGGGGGCGCATTGAGGAACCTGGCCTTGGGGGGGCCCTGGTAGTAGTGTAGGCTTTTAACAATTCCTGTTCAGTTACTCGGTTATTACAGAAAGAGTATGATCTGCAGTGCATGTATCTGCAGTATGCATTGTATGGTCAAATCACACTATGTGCTATATGTAATGTACCATTATTAAGTCCATTCAGTCGGTAGAAGCATTGCTGATGTTGTACTATGAGGGAACCAGCAGAACAGAAAGGCGCCCCATACAAACCACAGCCGGAGTGTTGAGCCATACCGAAAAGAGAAGTAGATGTAAAAACCAGAAATAGAATCAGACAAGTGAAACAATGACTCCAGTTCCCAGCATTGGCTCAGACTATCTTGATTTTCAGTCTCTGTGGAGGGCGGGAGAGTTTTATAGAAGATTTTGTGTTGCCAACAGCGACCAATCGGAAATGAGCTGATAAATCTCTATGAACAAGCTTCTTTAATTTGGTCTCATCTAATTTTTTCCCTGTTGGAGCAAATTGAACCGTGCTTTATAAAGGTTTTTTTGCCTTCTTTTGGATTAACTGTGGCTAACTGTGGGCATAAGGTTCTGTTTATTGACGTTTTTCTGTATTATATTTTTTTTATTTTCTCCATAGGTCAAACTTGATGGAGTTGTGTTTTTTTTGTAACCTGACGATGTAACTACTATGTCACATCTACTGCTGCAGTGTGAGGCTGGACAAAGCAGCTTCAGCACTGCCCATGCCTCCATGCTAACAGAAAGTGATGTAATTCCACTTGCAATGTAAAAACAAGACAGAAGTTCCCCATTGCGTTTACATTGCCTGCTGCCTATGACGCTTCCAGAAGCAGAAGCCCAGGAGTTGATCAGTTCAGCTCCTTGGATTAGTGCTGGACACAGTCTGTCATTGACAACCCACAGTTTCATCGCTAAAGCCCTCCAGAGCAGTGGTTCTCAACCTGGGGGTCGGGACCCCTTCGGGGGTCAAATGACGATTTGCCAGGGGTCGCCTAGCGGCTTCTGGCCACCCAGGAGAGAAGCGCTTTCTCTGCTCTTTTTTTTTCAGTCAGAAAAGAAAAAAAACTCTCATCGAGCAGACTAAACCTTTCCAGGAGAAAGTTTTTTTTTTTGTTTTTTTTTCGACAGGGTTAAAAGTAAACCTGCCGCTCCGTGTACACAGTGAGAGGGGAGAGCTGTGCTGTGCTGTGCCGTGCTGTGCTGTGCTCTTCCCCTCTCACCTGTCACAGAAGTTCCAGCACAGTGCTGTGCTAGGACTCCTGTATTGGAGGTGACGGGGTCAATAAAGAGAACCTGTCACCTCCAATTGCTATTACAGAGGGGCTTGTTACCTCTGTGTGACAGCAATGAAGTTAAGTGGGAAAAAAATAGATACAAAAATTATTAAAGAAATTAAAAAAATAAAAAAGCGATTAAAAAGAAATAAGAAACAAATTATTAAAAAATAAACAATAATAAGGTGAGAGTCCTCCTCAGTCCTCTCCTAGCGCAGCAGTGTCAGTTCTCCCGCCAAGCCGCCAGATGTCGCAGCAGCAGCCGCGTCATCCCTAAATTTTACCGTTGGAGGTCACCACAACTTGGCAAATGTTACCAAGGGGTCCCGGCCCTAGAAAGGTTGAGAACCACTGCTCCAGAGCCTCTGTAATCCGCTGTGCTTCTGACCTGGTTAGAGTATTGCTTGGCCACATTTGGCCCATGGGTAGGGTTGGGCTTGAACATCGCTAGTTTGTGTGTTTGCCGAATGCCCAAGGCAATGCTCCTTGTGAAGCCCTAATTGGCTAATGGCTTGCACCTGACCACAGGTCAGGTGCAAGACTTTGCCCAATCAGGGCACAGAGAACAGTGAGAGCCATGATTGGGCAAAGTCATGATGACTTTGCCCAATCATGACTCACCCTGTTTCAACTGTAAACATTTGGGCGGAGCTAGCTGTCACTGCTAGCTCCGCCCAAATGTTTATATGTTACCGGCATCTGTTAAAATGCCATTATGCGGCGGGTGTTCGTTGCGAGCGGACGGGACAGCGGTCGTCATTAAAAAAATAATAATTTCTATCTATTTTTTATTGTTTTATTTTTTATTTCGCCGAGACGTTGTCATCGTAGACAACACTGGACGTCGTGATTGACGTTGGATTACATCGGTGGATACATTTGTGGGGGGTTTTATTTTAAATAAAAGACTTGTGAAAAACATGTCTTTTGTTTTTTTTCCAAATAAAGGATTTTTATTTACAATTTTATTTAACCTCTTAGTGAATGGGTAGGGGTACTAGTACTAGAAAAAAATGGTACATGCATGAATCTATAACCGGCCTATAACTAGTACCCCTTACTCATTCACAAGGGGGGGCAGCATCTGGGTGCCCCTTTTATTAAAGAAGTTTCCTGATGTGAATAAGCCCCCCTGCCTGGTGTGGGAGGGAGGGGAGGCGCTTGCTCATCCAGGCCTATGCTCGGATCAAGGGTCTTGTATGGAATTTCAAGTTTTTTTCACCCCATTTTTGGGGGTGGGGTTCCTCCTTAAAATTCCTACCAGACCTTAAGGGCCTGGTATGACTTTGAGGGGGAACCCCGCACACTTTTTTGTTTGTTTGTTTTTTACATGGGCTACCTCCTAAATATTCCTACCAGACCTTAGAGGTCTGGAATTACTTTTAGGGGGAACCCCACGCTTTAAAAAAAAAAAATTGGTCCCTCCTAACATTCCCACCAGACCTAAAGGGTCTGGTATTGTTTGGGAGGGGGAAACTGCATGCTTTAAGAATTTAAAAAAAAGTCATTTTTATTTCTTTCGAAATTTCAGTTTTGCTGCAGCAGGTTCTATACATCGTACAGATTTTCCACTTTACAGGCAGTGTAAAGGGACCCCCCAGGCACGATATTTAAAGGGATTTTTCATTTTTATTGTTACCCTTTAAGTGATGTTAAAATCACTGCTCCTTTACAAAAGTTTTTCTTTCATTGATTCCTGTCCCCCAGGGCAGTACCCGGATCCCCAAACACCTTTATTGGCCAATAACTTGTATATAAGCCCTCTTAAAGGGGACAATTGTTTTTGAAAGTTCTACCCCCCATTGACTTGCATTGAGTTTGAGTTTGAACTTTTTGGGTGTTCTAAAGTTCGAATTCGAACCGAACTCGGGCCTGTTCGGCCCATCACTACCCATGGGCTGCTTGGTGGGCCCCAAGGAATTACAGCATATAGTGTAACCTGAAACTATAGCCTAGCTTACAAAAGAGGCTAACTAATCATTTGTAAAAGATATACATATACTCCTACACTGTATTGGCCATAGGAGTAAACTTTTTTTTTTTAAATGGAGTAAATCA